TTGTTAAACTTGACGTTTTGTCGTGGTATAAAGCTGGTCATGATGTCAAGCAGCGTCTTGCGATGCGCCTAGTACCAATTAGCAATACTCGTGTTGACGGCGATGAGTTAGAGCACATACAGATTTGCGTTCAAAATCAGGATGGCCCCACGCCGACTTGCCGTACCATGCTTGGTCTCTGCCTGCAATAGCAGGTTAGCAATAGGCACAGCGAGAAGTGGTGTGGCAAAAAAGAGGTCCATACCCAACCCCTCACTAAGAAGCATGCCCTCAAAAAAGACATCTTGTTTGTCAGTACCCTTATTCCCCACGCAAATCCTCTCGTACAAGGGACGGAATCCAGGCTCAATCAGATCCATAGCTCGCATCCCGTTTGGCGCAAAGCCGATACCAGCACTTTGGTCAAGTAAGCAAAGGAAGCCTAGGTGAGGGGCATGGTGATGAGAACATACCCTACAGCTGAAAACTCCTTGGCGTCCTCATACAGGGTGAAGGGAACACATTTCTTGTGCAACGCCATGGCCAGGGCGAGGCCACCAATGCCCGCGCCTGGATGGCCCTGTTAGTGAAATGGGATAGATGATGGGTTAGTGTGCAGATATTCATACCTACAATGGCGACCTGAAAGTCGCTGTTCATGTTTCTGGCCATGGTGGTCAGGATGGTGTTTGTGCTATGACTTTAGCGCAACGGTGACGCACGATTATGCCCAGGTGGAGAGCGACGGACGGGCGATGCAAGGATGCAGTAGGTAGGCCGCTGAGTGTATCGAGGAACTCATCACTTGGGAGGTGTCGTGATGCGTGGTAGCCCCGTTGGCTCGAGGCGTGACGGGATGGCGTGCCGCGTTTACCCCGGGTTACCTGGCACTAGGGAAATGCTACCACGCCCCGGACGGGAATAACCGGACACGTGATATCCCGTCTGTGCATCATAAAGCGGCATGTCCAGACGCTCCCTACTATGTCGTCTCCCTCATCACCACTATGGCCACGGCGGATCAGGGTCAGCCGCGGACACGGCCGCATCGACCAACAAACCCCGGCGCATTCCTCTCGCATGCAACGCATGCCGTGTGCGCGAGTCAAAGTTGCGATGGACGGCGCCCCTCGTGCTTGTCTTTCTTTCGACGACTTTGATATGGGAGGGTCTTCAGATATGGATCTCGTTGGGATCGCAAAAGTTGTGACTGGCTCGTTATCTCTATGCGTCATAGCACAACCAGGGTAGCGTGACGCGCTAGAATCATACCCGACCATGGAGACCATCCACCCAGCAGATTTTCGTGTATATATAGCGAGCCCCATGCAAAATTGAAACTCGCGGATTACAACAGCACTTCAGATCAACTTATCAACCAAAATTGAACACCCACCTTTTCTTGTGTCGCTTCGACAAAGAACCACTATGTCGACTCCATCGCAAACCAGCACTGGCTTTACGCCTCCTCGACCAACACACCACATCCGAGCGGACGGTACTCGCGGGCGCCGAATTCGCTACCCACCACCCCCGCGTCCGACGCCTAAATCACCATCGTAAGCCCAGATCAAAGAACTCTGCGCCATCTGGAAGTTCAAAGAATGGAGGGAGCTGCCCGCCGAGCACTTCGACCGTGCCGAAGCATACTTCTATGACATCAGCACCGGACCTTGGGCCAACGAGACTAGTCGGAAATGGCACTTACATTGCGCCCTGTTGACGGCAATTCAAATTGTCATTGCCGCGCTGGGATTTCCAGGTATGGGCACTGCCTTCGGGACGAAGTACATATTCTCGGCGCACTACACGGATGACGATAGAATTCCGGTGCTGCCAGAGTGGCTCCACGAAATCATGATGGTCGAAAAAAGTTCTCTGGACGGTTGGATACCAGAGTGAAGCAGGGCAATAGCAGGACGACGACATCGAATCAGCGAACTGGTGATGGAGAGTTCATGATAGGGGCTGCCGACTACATGGCTGCTACTATCTCACGATTGAACTGGAATCCGGGCCTTTGAAGATGACATTACATTTCTGTTTCAAGGTCTCATAATCTTCTTGTCACTTCGGAACGCGCGACAACACCCTCAAACCGCAACGACCACATACAGGACACCCATCGCAACACTTTCAACCCCAAAATGAAAGACTCGATCATCCACGCCACTGCCCCGACCGTCCATGACGCCGTGCGAGCCACAAGTCGACTCAAGCACCGCGCCGTCCTCCAACTCGGTCACCACCAGCAAGGTCACCAAGACCAAAGATCGCAACCGCAATCGCATCTTTGGCCTCAACAGCAAGGATGAGAAGAAGGCCGCCAAGATCAATCGAGGGCAAGGGCAAGGCGAAGGCATCCGGCCGGGACACAAGCAGCGCATCCGACCAAGCCACGAGCAGCACATCCGGCAATGGCAAGGAGCCAGAGAGGCGGTCTAAGAATGGGACCGAGGCCGTTGAGACGATAGGTCACGAAAGCACCCTGATCCAACCTTACTGAGAACACTGAGAATTCAGGAACCGATATTTCGACAAGGAACGCAATGAATCTCGGCTTGGCAACTACAAGCATCCTGATACTGTGCTAGTGTATGCAAATATCTACTTCAGAACTATACATCGTACTCGTGATGTTCTTTCTGCCCACCGCTTCTCACATGTCGTCCTCTGACTCCTCTGACTCCTCGTCCTCCTCAGAGGCAAACTCCAAGCGGAGCCCCAGCAGACGCGCCTCCAGAAAGTATGCGTCTAGACACAAGAACATACTTGTGTTTTCCAGAATGCTCTCATGCGGCGATCCAATATGTAACCCCAATGGGATCTTTACAGAATTTTCCATGGTAGGTCGTTCTGGTTGTGGCTTGTGTTTATAGGATGGGAAGCGCCATCGGATATCGTTGAACTTCCCCATTGTTGTATCGCTGAAAAGTTCATCCACTCAGCCGAAGGAAAGGTCGAGTAGGCCTAAAGCCTACATCAAATTGAAAACACGCAAAGTAGATGGCCCAACGTCTATGTAGGCTCCAGGGTGTTCCATGTTTCCTCGAATGAGGTGCGTCCTTGTGCACGTAGAGATAGCCCATGCGCTTCATGGCTTTGTGTCGACGCTCGGTGTCGGTGGGGGCTGACATGTCTGTGTGGTGTGCGCGTGGTCTTTGGATACGTGGGGTTGCTGCGCAAAAGGTGTTCGCGTCGTTTGCGTCCAACTTCAAGATCTCCACTCCACTCCGATGGAATAGGGCTCATGGCAACCAGGGTTTTTCAACGACACCTTTGGCGAAATACCGAAACGACGAGCTGTAGAGGGTAGACTAGACGCCATTGCTTCCGTCTTTTAGAACCTCTTACCGTATACGATGACGCAGCGGAACGTCCTTCCGCATCATATGGGGATGCGGAGAGGTTACAACAGCCGCACGTTGTTGAATCTCGGTCTTGGTGGCGCTATTGTATTCTCCAAAGAGGGTTTTATCGCCAAATTCTGTTGGATCGATCATAATGACGCCCAAAGTTCCAAACTCGGATTCTACTCCCCTCTGGTCGGTGATCGTATCACTCAGACGGATGCGATCAGAGTTGGGAGCGGTATCCTCGGGTGTACCTAGGTGTATCTCATGTTGAGATCGGGGACTATCTTCACGAACGGAATCTGTAGCCAACTTGGCAGTTTGACTATCGAGTTTTCGGATGTTGCGGCGACGTGGAGGACCGTTTCCCCGGCTTTTCGAGGGAGACAAAGCGTTGCTTTATGTTCTTGATATCGATGCGGACAGTAGCGGACTCCATAGTAGTAGTGAAAGGGACGATGGATAAACTTCGCGCAACTATAACAGGCAGGTTAATATTGGCATAATTAGAATGATCCTTGATTGTGATAAATACCCAAAGAAATGCAAGTTTTGCAGAAGTCGGAAAAATAGAATGTGCGATAATAGGAAATCGTCACGAGTTGTTGAATCTGGACGAGGTTCACTGGTGAACATGCGTGCGTAGGCGCAAGTGACTGCTGCGTCCGCTTGGTCTCGGGATGACGCACGGAAATACAATTCCGCTATAGCGGCTTTGAAGTCCGCGATAGTTGCGTCAGTCCGTATCACTGGTGCATTATATTTGTTCTTCCATGGCTCATTGTTTGGGTCGTTCTCGACTGGGAAAATGTCCGGGGACGGATAGTCTTCGTCCTTGGGCCTTTTCCCAGAGCCCTCTGGTTGCGTCTTCGATGACGCGACGCGCTTGGTTGGGGATGATGCGGGCATTTTTGTAGTGTTGTATCGAATCTTGGTACGATGCGTTCTGCAAGGGGAAAAGGGGTGCTGTGTTGGGAAATGACGGGGCGTGGTCAATCTGGTGCGATGTCAGAGGCAAACACTTCCGAGAGTTGCTACCGTACCATGTATGCAATCTCCGGTCATACGGTGGGAGATCAAGAACTTGTCGCTGCCTGAAAGAACATGTCGATCAATTTGGCGGCGATGGCGACGACGTTGGCCTCTTGGTCTTCTTACGACTTCGAGAAACTCCATTGCGCTATCGCAAGCTTGAAGTCTCCGATGCTCATGTCATGGCGCAACCGAACCTTGCGGAGGGGGTCGCCGTTGTGTATCTATATCAGCGACGTTAACAAGAAGGGACACTAACACAGGTACCTTCGATAGTACGTACCCGAAGTAAAACACCTGGGTGGTGTTTGACGGAGGCGGTAAAATGGTACGCGTGTGGTGAGGTAACGATGGGCTGCAATATCCACGTCGTCTCTTGGTAAGATGTCCGTTGGTTGACATCGGCCAGAACGTGTCGGTGGTGCGATAGAAGGTGGTGTGAGGGAAGGACGTTACATTCAACATCAACATGGTAAGAACACGGTCATAAGCTGGGAGGAAGTACATTCGGCAGCGGGGGCAAGTGCGCCCACAGCTCTTCCGTATCTGCCATAACTAGGCAACAACTATCTAGTTGTCCTCCAAAACACCGCCGTAGTCCCCAAGTCTAATACTGATATCGCGCCAAGGGTAAGTTCAATCGGCAAAAATGTCAACTTCCTCGTCGTCCTCCTCGCCTTCCCCTTCATAATCGCTGTTTAAGAGTGCGGCCATGAACTCTGCGTCGTGCTCATTCATTTTCGGGACTGCAATAGCACTTGACTGCTTCCTCCGATCATTCGGGGGTCCACCGTGTACCGGAAGGCTCGCATAGCCCACGATGGTATCGGTGAAGCGCTCGTCGTGGCGGAAGCCGCGCCATTTGGCATAGCAACGTTGCTATTGCTGTTAGTATACCGAAGTCATAATAATGATGTGCTTGGAACTTACAGCCGGAGTCATCCAGGAAAGCGCCTCGTCGTCGTCTTCGAGCGTAGAAGGATTGCAGTAACGCATCTTGAGCGTCTGCTCGCAAGCGAACACGTACTTGTCACGGAACATGTCTCTCGCAGCCTGTAACTTGATCTTGACTTCTGCGGTACCGAATCCGAGATTGTAGAGCTTGTCCCAAAGGATCGACTTGCCGACGTCTCCCCACATCGCGGCCGCCATACGTTCCGGGTCCTTGTCGAAGTCGCCCTGCCAAAGAGCTTCGAGTTGAGCCGGAGTGAGGTCTTCGACAGCCTTGTCAGCATTCGCAGCCTGCTCCTTCCACTCGCAAATGACCATGGCTACCCTGGGATAGATGAAGTCGTTCATGACCTCGCCCTGGAACTCCGACTGATAGTCTCTCAACCGCTTCCTAGCGCGAGCAAACTCATCGGACGACTTATCGCTGATACCGCAACCAGCGAGCAGAGCGATGGCGTCATCATCAGTGAGCTCGTGCTTCAAGATGTAGACGATCTTGGCGGCAGGCTTCAAGAACAAGCTCAGCATCATCGTGCCCTTGAGCGGCGGCGAGGTACCAAGGAATGGCTTCAGCCAATCGGCTTCGCTTGCCCAGTAGATGCTGTTCGGCTGGAAACTGCCGTAGCTGCTTCTTGTCTTCTCGTAGTTGCCGGCGACACGGCCGCGGTTCCGCACGATGGTCTTGGTGACTTTTCCGGTGTCGGTTCGATCGGAGGCTTCGCCTTGCGAGGCGGCGGTCGCGGGCGCGTGGCGAGCTCGGACGAGCTTCGCTGCTTCGAAGATACTGTGTGCGACCATGTTGATGCGACGGGCGAAGTGGTGACAATGATATCAAGCGATGTGTGAGAACAAAACGGAAGGAGAGTTGGATTGCAGACCGATCCTATATACTACACTAGCGGGGCTTCGGATTCGCAAACGTGCTCAAGGTGAGAGCGAACTCGCGGTGACGCTGCTTTTCCCGCCTTCACCTCATTTTGCAGTGACCAGCTACCGCCAAGAATTGCTCTTACATTGTTCGCCGTGGGCTCTTCCTCTTCTGTGAGCCGCGTTGCATGCCTGCACTCTTCCTCCTGGGCGTGTAGGTAGCCGCATCCTGGGGTAGAGGCTCACACATCCGCTCGAGAGAAGCAAACATCTCAGGCTTGAGGACCCACTCCCCCGACTCTTCGTCCTGCACATAAGGCTCCTGCAGAATCCACTCCCGCCACTTCTTCATAACCTTGACTACATGCGCTTGACTGGCTTCAAACCATTCTTTGTGCAGCTTACCGCAGCCTTCACATTGCCTTCGCAGTCTACACCCCTTCAGCTCAGTGTGTATGAGCTGCTCGACGCGGTGAACATGCGGCATCACCACCTGACTCTCCACACTGGAGTGATAGTCGTGCTGGTGCTTGCACTTCGAATTCCAACTCTTGAGTCGCTTGGCTAAATTCTTGGTGTGCCCGATCTTCACCATGCCAAAGAAGGCCTTCCCAGAAGAGGTAAACGTAACCCGGAGTCAGATCTTTGGTACCCAATGGAGAGGCGGCCTTCTCGTAAAGAGCCGAAAAAACGGAGAGCCCCCTGGTCTTCTTTGGTTCATAAGTTCTGAAGCCTGAGGAGGGGGAGAAGCGAGCGATTGTCTCAACCGTTGGCAACTTGGACATGGGCTTCAATTCTCGCTTGGGCTGTGTGAGTGGCTTAGATTTTGTCGCAATGATGTTAGTTCGAGCAGCTTGATCGTTGGAAGCGTCTAGGTCACTGATCGTGCTGACCCATTGCTTAAGAGTGGAATGGTCCAGTGCCGTCATGCGTGTCGTGCCTTCAAGCTTGCTTCGCAGTTGCGATAGCCTGGATCCAGCCTTGAGTTGTCTCAACGCCGCATGTTGATGCCTGATGCACATGACTGACTGCAAGATCGCCTCGATATTGCGAAGCATACCGCAGTAGTCCTCTTGTCTGTTACACTTCGAGATATTCTTCACTGCGCTAATAGCGTCGATAACCGACCCCCTAGGCTTTGCCATGGAACTGCATCGTGTAGATAGGCTTGTTACGAGGGACGCGGGGCAGTAGCCCGGAGCGCTGGCCAGTCTTGCGTGAAGGTCGTGTGGGACGAGTTGTTCTAGTAGCTTCGAGAACTTGCTGTCCAAAGGCGGATGGATGCGACCTTGGGGAGATGTAACGATGGTTGTCTCTTCACGAATAGCGGTATGTATAGCTGAAGCGGTTGGTGTGGTGGAGGCTGTTTTGGAACGTGTTCGTGTACTGATACTGGTATTCTGCGTGAACACGAACGTGGGGTTACTGTTGTATTTGACGGTAGCAGCTGCGACGCTTGCCTTGGAGACTGTGATGTGTTAGTCAGGTGTGATCGCTATCAGCTCCAAGATGTCTCGACGTACTCTCTTCAAGCACCAAGGTGACGCCTCGGAACAACTTCGGTTGAAAAGGGTCATCCTGTGCCGCTGTCTGTTTTTCCTGGAAGAAGGGCTGCGGAATCGCTGGAGTCACTGCAACGCCGAAAAAAGGCTTGGGAATTGGGGTGAAAAGCAGCTTTTTAGAAGAATCAGGGGGTGTTGCAGGTGTGAAAGGCGCCAGGATACTTCGTGGAGAAGCGCTGGTCGTCCGCTTGGTGGGCGTCTCGGGTACATCCCACATGTCGTTGAACCCTGCTGGAGACGACGTAGTCGATACTGTCAATGCTGGTGACACCCAGGAGATCTTGTTAGGGTCTAGTACGGATAGCACACCGCGGCTACTCTTCTCTGAGACCGGTGTGGGTAGGAATGTAGCGCAGGGCTTCTGGGCTGTATCATACCCACACTTGGGTGTCGGCAGACCGCCTGGTTGGATGCTGAGATCTTCGGTAGCGAATTTCATGATGATAGCTCTGAGAAGACACTGGGTGGCGTGATCGATGGGAAAATGCAAGAATTAATAGATGAAGTGGGTGAGATGGATGAGTCGTTTGGTGCCAGCAGAAGCTGAGTCCATGCCAGTATATATCCTCAGCCTCGCGGAGCCAAGTGTATTGCCTGCGACCACCACACCTACCCATCTCGCTGAAACCTTTGGGGTACTGCGATAACAGCCTCAGTCGTTGCAGTGACATGATACCACAAGCGCATGGGCTGCGGCTACGTCCATCCGCGTAGAGATATTACCATGACGGGCAGGTGTAATCGCCTCCCAAACATCCACGAATGACTCGAGGACAAGATGGATTCGCAACCATGAGGCTTGTGAGTTTTGGATCTTTGGTGGCTGCATGACCCGTGCCGCAGAGCCGCAGGTGGTTGCCTTGCTCAGCCTACCACAACCACAGGGTGTGAGAGCTCATCGTTAACGATCCTCCGATGAGACTGTATCTAGAAGTCAGTCTCTTCGGCGATAAGATTAGTTGTTGAAAGCAGATCTGGCGCCAGCGATCGAAAGACTGGAAAATGGATCAAGGACCTCGGACTGCATCCTCTCGCAATAACGTGGGTAGCAATTTGGCCCCAAGGAGAAACGATGCTTCGAAACCTCTCGTGTAATATGTCGATGAGAGAACTGTAATTCTACCAGGCTGCATGCGCCATTCCAGGCTCGTATCGTGTTGAACGCGTTCCTACCATTTGCCGTCTTTCGACCAGGACGTGGGGTTTGAAACAAACGTCGTGATCTTGCCGTGGACCGTGCTGAACAGCGCGCCGTCGGCGAGCCTCACACAGGCGATACACATCGAGATAATGCAGATTGAGCGGCAGGTGAAGCATCGGTAGGCATGCTGACAGATTTTCTGAAACAAGGATAGATGCAGTGAAGTCCGTGAGTATGTCGCGTTGAGTGTAGGCGAAAGCGAAGGGGATGGAGGTTTGTTGTTCTCGGGGACGCGTCGTTGGCGCGTGCGGGCCGCCACGTGGGACGGCAACCGCCGCGGATCGGCTCTCTACAGCTGGAACCCTAGTCACCGCGCGCATCATTTGTGTCAACGCGACAATTACTGTCGTAATAATCCCTGCGAGGACCAGTCATGCTCTTGATTCAAACGAGACGAATCAACGATGAGTTTCGCTCATGGTGTATGTCTTGAGCAGTCCACGCGAGCCCAATCCTTCTCCAACATTCCCCTCCAGCAGTCCGCGGAGCAGGCACGACAACGAGAAGATACGTCATGTGCCTAGACGTATCGAAAGCCTCGTACCACATATCCCTTACCAGCCCTGTTCTGAGTAGTATTGCAGCACCTGATCTTAGACCGCCTGACCGTTTGTCAGAAGCATCCAAAATTCCACTGGCTAAACTCTCGCGGCCATTGCTGTCGAGTATCATGCACTGCCTCGAGCCCGACTGATTTTGAACAGATACTGGATACCACTCGCATTGGAGCGTGAGCACGTAAGCGGGATCAGTGTTTTCCTTTGAACCTAGATCGGTCCTTTGAATCTGGATGAACTGAAAGCATGGATCCCTCATATTACCCAGCGCTTTGAACCGAACCGCAAGATCTGTAGAGATCCAACTCCAGGAAGGGGTTGAGAAAACATCATTATCCGATCCAGAATCCTGCTGTTGAGTGTCCTGATCGATTGGGCAATACCACAGGAGCTCGTATCCCAAGTTCTCTATCCACATGCCCGCCGCATAGGTATAGCCGGTATTCCTTCGGAACATGCTTGCAAGACCTGACAAGGCGGGTAGCTTGTCAGAACGGTAGGTGAGACGGCAGCGCGAATACTCCGAGACAATGATCTGCCAGTCTGACGGTGGCGAGACTGGGAACGAGGGGTTGTCATCGAGTGGCCTAACGAGCGGGTCCCTTACTTGGGGGCATTCAAAACTTTCGTAGCGATACGGAGTAGCTTTGCGCATAGCTACTCGATGATTTCCTTCCCGCGCTGTATGAGCGAGACACTCCCAAAACATCTCACCGTCGCTGTAGTACAGCAGCCTTGGCGATAAAAGACGCTCTTGAAGTGCCCATGCCCTCTTGTAAAGTGGCGCAGTCTGGAACACACTTTCCTTGGTTCTTTCGTGGTTGTTGGAGTTGATTGTACCGTGTGACGCCGCCGCCACCAATGCGCCGTCGCGCGGAACTAGCATACCGTGATGGCAGTCCGGGGAACTGAGCGCATAAAGCGTTAGATACGAGTGTCGGTAGATGTCGCCCATTTTTGCCGCTTCTTCCGACCAGTCATCTTTGCAGTCTTGGAGTATACACAGGCTGTCTATCCAAAGGTACTGTATGCCTAGCCTCCGAGTCACTTGGACTGCATCACGGTAGAGCTCAGGAAAAGACTCCATCGGTATACCCCGGCAATGTTCTTCGAGTGTGCTAGTAGTCGTGATAAGAGGCTGCTCACCTCCCCAACAATGACTCAACGTCATGTACAACGCTTTGCGACCATCGGAGATATGTAGGAATGGTGTGTCTGTATGGACGTCGATTACCCGCGTTGGTAGTGGTGTCCGGTCACCTTGGTAACAACTGTGGTTCATATCGCACTTTCCGAGCCACTCTTTGACCAAACCGAAACTAGATTCCGAGGACGGATCCGGGGCGATCTCACGAGCATGCAATCCGTAAATGTATGCGATATAGCCTGATGTGAGAGATTAGCGCTGCTTAAATGCTGATGCCCTTGACATGCTTGCCGTACTCTTGCCTCTTAGATGATCCAGAAATCCGTCTCCAGTCTCTGTCCGCTCAGCAAACCATAACAAGAGAGAGTGTGAAGGAAGCTGCTCAGGCCGATCAAGCGCCGGAGGGTTTTGACGATCGGCTTGACACTGTGAAAACTCCATGCATATTGCACGGCAAAGCCAGCAGCCTTTAGTACCTTCCTCTTCCAAATCTGCCAGATCATCGAAATGTCGCATCCTTGATCCTTTCGGCCATGATCTCAGGGCCGTACACTTCTCGCAGAGAACCAACCCGATTATCGGTCTGGTATAGTTATACAAGAAGGCTGTCTCATAGTCCGGCGTGAAGAACTCGATAATCAGACAGTGAATGACCCTGACAATGGAATAACAGAGTCTACAAGGAAGGAATATAATCCCTAGTTGGATGCCCACTGAGGCACACAAGATTTCAACAAAGAATGGAAGGGAATCGACAATCATTATGGTACAAGTGGTTATGTGTCAGCTATAGATGGTCAAGAAGAAAAGATTCCGTCGAGTGTAGCCCTCATGATGTCGTGGAGATACAAGCGTTTCAGTTGCTCACACAGCCCCTGAGGCAACCTCAACTAGGTTAGAAGTGGTTGAGATGATCATGCAACAATTCCAAGCTAACGAATGTGGCTGCGCCTCACCGGAAATCCTATTGAGGCGCAGCCCGCATGATCTCTGATTGATCGGAGCGCAATACAGCATGACACGATAAAGCTCGCGAGCATCAGCTCGACTTTCCGGTACCGCGATACAGCCTTTGTTAACCTCGGGAAGCTGCATACTGAGCTTCGCTTACACTGAAGAATTTGTTGAAGAGCGACGGTCATCTCCCACCCTCAATGCCGGTCTTTTTCACAGCATTGAAAGACTACGTGCGCGATTTCTATTCGCGATGGCGATACGATATTTACTTGCACAATCTCATGCTCGGAGCTATTGCAATAACAGTCCTCTTCACAGCCGGTGGTAGGAAGCATCCCTCACAGTATGATAAGAGGGTATTCTAGTGTGTTAACATGCAACAGGACTAGCAATCGATCGATCTATCGATAGAAGGAGCTTTGGCGGATGGGACGATCACCCAAACTCGGAGCGATGCTATAAGCAGGAACGTATAGCAACGCTGCTAGCGTTCTGGCTCGGTGTGCTTGGTATAGACCAATGGTATGCGCGTCACTGGATCCTGGCTGTGTTCAAGACTGCTACTCTGGGTGGTTTGGGTGTATGGGCAGTCGTTGATATAAACTTATGGATTATTGGCGGGGTCTATGGTACTCCAGGGTGTCCAGGCGGTAGCAAGAAAGAATGGCTTTACTGAGAGAGCTTGTACACCATGTAGTGTAGTACTTCGCTGCGATAAATCGGAGTTTACTTGATCGGGTAGGTACCCGGGTACCTACCTAGGTAGGTACGTACCTAGCTGGTCATCGCGAATTCTGGAGTGCACACTTCCTTACTGCTGACGTTCACCCCTGTTACGCGATCCTTCCCAATATTATATTGCTCGTGTCGGCTAGCATTGGGTGCCTGAGTGTGAGAACTTGGTCGAGGGCGAAGTTGATGGGTTTTAGCAGATGCGCGTGCGCCAAAAGCGGGGCCGTCGGTGAGCTAATTAGGTATGACGGCTGATTGCCCTTCCCCCCCTAAATTGTAGCGCCAAGTTCCTCGAAAACCTTCCAGCTTCTCCAAATATATCTTCAAGGAACACTTCATTGCTGCATCGTGCGCAATTAATCTTAAAGTGGTTTGCGATATGGCCACTTGCTTGCAGAAACAACTTCGCAGAGTTACGCAACTCAGGCAGCCGCTGACGTACGCAGCATGTCAAAAGCTATTGCATGCTACCCTGTCCTCCTAACACCAGTAAACGGCACTCGAAAGACGAAGATGGGACTATGCAACGTCCGTTCGCAACTAGATCTAGACGATGCGTATTTCGAATAACGAGTTGTCGATGTTTTCTGACGAGCACGTTGATCTCCCAGGGTAGGGCAGGTTCTACGAACTCGACATCACTCTCCAGAATCTAAAATCCCTTCAACCACTTCATACGCCTCCTTGACCACGGCCCTGGTCTCTTCGTCCAATTTATCCTCGTCCGTGCTCAGATCCCACAGCCTCTTCTCCCACAACCCCCACCGCTCTGGTGTCAATCCATCCTGACTCGGCCACAGCTCCGTCTCGTCATCCAGTGGCACCGCAAAGTGCTCTCGTAGCACCTCGTGATCAGCATTCCAGAGCGTCCAGCCTCCGTCCCGTAGCCATATCGCCGCGACCCGAATATCCAGCGCCCGTACCTGCTCGAGCGGTATGCTGTGCAAGTTCGAGTCAAGCTCCGGAGGTGCTTCGTGTACTCGTTCGAGTGCGTATCGACACGCGTAAAAAACCGTCATAGGATAGCCCACACCTGTCTGTCGGCCATGTTTCATCAGTGTCGCTGAGAAGATGCACATGCGGAGGTATAGCTGGTCGGGTCTAATCCTCATCCTGCTGCCAAATGGATCTTCTTCGGTGCCTGGATCGCGTATACCATTCCAGTTGCGTCGTCCTAGGAGGATAGAATGCGCATCTCCCCAGTACATATCAAAGCCAGGTAACTCCGACCAGTGTAGTTGACCATCGCGTTTAGCTTCCCGGCACAACCGTAGAACTTTGGGCTTCGAGGGCGGCTGCGCGCGAATGGCGTCTAGAAGAGCGATATAAGAGTCGTATGGTGGCGGACAAGACGTGACGGCAATGAAGAAGGCGTCCCAGAGCTCCCATATTGCTTGATCGGCATCGTAAGTTGCGGCGATGGCGTCGATGATTTTTTCCACCGAGTGACCGAAGAGCAAAGGGTAGTCTCTTGATGTCAGAGCTTCTTGGACGAGGGAGCAGAAGCGGTTTGGCGGGGTGGAGCCAGGAATATCGAGGATAGACGTCATTTTTGATAGGGTGCAGACTGCAGACTAAATGCAGATACGATTGGCTCGGGACGCTGCATAGCTTTTAGCTAAGGAAGTCAGTCGCGACAATTGAGGCGGAATCGAGAGTGCATCAGGCCTTGGGTGAGTATGTCATACCCAGGTATTATCCAGGTCGTGGGCCTCCAGGCAGCCGCAGGCACGTGACTTCGGACAACCATGGTTGAGGCGCCCGATGCCGCTTCGGTGTCGACTTCGTCTAGTAATTCGAATGTAACGGGAGATTTTACAGGATTCACGACGGACGATGACATGAAAGCTGGTATTCAACAGGGATACGAATTGTATACGGTGAGAGAAGTGAGGTCTGCCTAGCTATCATTGTCCTGCTATCTGGTAACGCGTATTTTCAACCTTATGTTCGAGCTAATAAAGAAATGTTCATACAATATGGAAGACTGCGTTTCATGCTAGATCCCTTCAGAATCCGAGCGCGTGTTCTGTATTCATCTGAGCCCTCCGGCATCTTTCCACTCGGAACAGGTCGGATGGCCGACGATATTGCACAACCCAATGCCCTCGTGGACCTTGACAGGAGTTGAATCTGCACCACCCCAGCTGGTCTTTTGAATCCACTGACCAGCTTCTGTAGACATATCTGCCCGTATATAGTTGGCCAGGTTAACATGATTCCACCAATCTTGCGCTCGAACGGCGTTGCATGTAGATTGATATGGGAAAGGCAAGTTCAGAAGTCTTTCTGGATCTGGATCGGGAAAGTTCGCGTGCTTCGACCATGAAACGTAGACCTTAGGGTGATCGTTGTTGGTCTTCTGATGGAGCATGTTGTCTCCTATCTCGCTGGGTGCGACGGTGTATAAGTCCGTCCACGCATTTGCCCACCATGAGCCATGCCCTCCAAGTAGAAGCGAGGTTGGTGTCCAGTCACCCCTATCGTCCCTGGTAATGGAGACAATGACGTTCTCCCAGTCGCTGCAAAGCCTGTCAGTCCAATCTTTTCAAAGTTAGCCGGGTCATCGGCGAACGTACTAAGGGTGTCCAGTTTGAACAAAAAACCAATATGCGCCGTCCTTCTCGTAGAAAAGATTGTAGGACACGCGGACCTCGTTGTCGCTACATCTGTTGTACGTATAGTAAACCGGAAAATCAGGCGATTTGGTGCCTTTGGGAGTGTCGGAGATGCGGCATCCGCAGTTAACGTTCGGGTAAAAGCATGCACTGGCTCCTGGGGTTTGGTAGTCTGGCGCATAATTGTCGCCATTGTTCTGATTTGGTCGTCCGCCAAAAGCCCAAGTTGGCAAGCACCCGGGATAGCCCTGAGATTCTGCAAACATCCAGATAGGTGCCCACTTGTCAGCGAGGATGGCTCCCCCAGCGTTGAGCATATCTTCCATCTGAGCATCCGTGACCGATGAAGCAGCATGAGCAAATGGAGTCAGTACAGCCAGAAACCCAAACATGAGCCGAAGGAAAGCCATGATGTCAAGAAACGATGGCAAAAGGTCGAGAGAGTGTGACTATGCGCTACAAACTATTTTATGGTCTCAATGCACCGATTATATGGTTTTCTGTAGGCGCTGTGCACAGCCCGCAGCCTTGCGGCTTACTGTAGCCTCGGCCCTCAGTGGCGTCACTAAAGGTCCTTCAACTTTCTATTTCGGCTTCACCTCATGCAAGGCTAGGATAGATGCAAGAAAATGTCACAAGAATAGTGTTGTGGCCCCAGTGGATGTTAGTTCTACGGCACGTGCCGTGCGGCACTGGCTAATTTCGTCTTGACCGGTGCGCCAGCCTTGTGAACGCCATAACAGCTGCGGGTCTTTCCACCTTTATGAAGCGTATCATACGCAGGCTCAACCTGTTTTCGTATCTATATGCAGATCAATATTCGAGTACACGATGCTGAATGGTCTGTCGTTCCCCCTTGTCGGTCGCGATATACCCGGCACTTTCAGGTGTACACGTCGGATATCTTGGCACAGAGATGTGGCGGCTTATGGACGGAAGGCAGACAGCCTAGGTCAGGACCAGCTGCCGCTTATAACAATCCCCACAAGATTTCAGACTCTGCCTCGTGCTGTACAATTCACCAGTACGTTACAGTATGAGCTTCACTTGGGATCAGTCGACGCCTAACATCCCCATTCTCGGTAGCGATGAGATCAATCTGAACCCTTACAAAGTCGCCGCTGAAGACGATCTGCAATACACAAAATTTCTCAAAGATCGTGCAAAGAGACAAGATCAGGCATATGTCAACAGTGTTTTCCGGTTCTTCTCGCAAGTGCACTATGGCTTGCTGACGTGGATCATGTCCGGCTGTGCCAGTGTCGCAAAGTGGACCGCGTTCGCCCCTGTCATCTCAAAGCGTCTGGACCTATACACCCAAGCACACCATGCGCGTGGCCAGAAGCTCGTTTCCGAGAATATCCGTATGATTTGTTCCGATTTACCAAAGCCATCAGACGTGGTGGTAGAAGTTATGGATTTCGCACCCGGCCGTATGGAACTCACGAGACCTAAATTCGGAGAAGTCTCCAAGTGTAAGCTTAGACATAAAACCTCGATAGATATGTAGGACAAGATCAACTGACCCGATTGCAGGGAAAGAAAAGCCAAACTGGGCTCAAGTGCGTTGGATGTGAGAGCTCCTTTGTTTCCACTGTGTCGACATTGCTGATAGCAAGTAGTCATGTTCCGTTTGGGCGTGGATGGCTATCCAATGTAAGCATGGAGAGCTGTTAAACTCTAGGGTCCGTGTTGTCTAACCACAACAGTTTGTTGAGGATGAGATTCTTTCCGGTGGGCCTCGAGGCTTCCCATTCATGAACGCTGGTTTTCCCGAGTTCCCTTACATATCGACGGAGTCCATGACCTTCTGGTCGAAGTCCAAATGCCAGCGCAGGAGAGCCTTAGTATCGTACTTCTCGACACCGATATCACAGATGACCCGCGACATTGGCCAGTATCTGCTGGACAACCTGTGGGAAACAAGAGAGCTCAAAGATGCTGTCAAAAACTACCGCGGGCAACGAGGTCGGCGTCCGACTAGCTTCTGGGCGTTGTCCTTAGCAGAGATGCCGCTCGACTTGGATGAAGCTCCAAACTCGGCCAGATTAGCAGACAGACATTTTGGGCACCAGGAACGTAGTGATGAGCTAGTTGATCAGACCTTGTCGATGCATCCATATTATCGAAATGCTCGGCTCGTACGCTCTAAACTATCGATGTTTCACCGACATGACGGTATGTAGCCATCTTCTCCAAACAATGACCAGAGCTTGGGCACTAACATATCAAGTAGGCTTTTTGCTGACTTCCTCTCAACCACTTGGTGTGCAATACCTTCATCGAGACTGGTTTGAACCATCTATTGCAGCCCCGATGACCGAGTATGCGAAGAACACATGGGCTTGTATGGTACCACAGGCATTCCACCATCTGTCCAAAGGTGTTGAAAGCTGGTATCGGCTCGATGAAACATGGCTCTCCATATATCTTGCGACTGAGATGTGCATGCTTCCCTCCAGCCGCCTTGGTGGTCCAGGTCTCAACCCAGAAGAAGCGTACTTCATCATTTTAACAAGATACGTGAGTATACTTTGTCCAGTCTTGGATGGACCTTACTCATGTCTGCTATACAGAAACAAAGAAGTCGCTACGAATGGAACAACCGAACAGCAATCGACCTAGTCAATGGGCTCGTCGAGCTGAATGATGAACTACATAATTGGCAATCGTTACTAGAGCAGCAGCAAGGCTTCCTGGAGCGTCTTCGCAGGGACGCTCTAATTCTTGAACAACACTATAAAGCCAACCCGGTGGATCCTGGCCTGGAAGGGAAAGGCGAATCCCCAACTCAAAGGGTGGATCGGGCGCTCAAGTCTGTTGGTATTCGACGAGCCGAGATGGACAAAATCTTCCACGAGTCCAGCAGGGTTCTAGAAGCAGTAGGTGGTCCTGATCCCTCCAATCGCAGTACCCGAATATTGACATAGGGTTTTGTGCAGATCTTTCGACTCCGTACGATTCAGCAGAATGAGCTCGCAGTCAGTGCAGAGCGATCAAACAAAGCTGTCGTAATCTTCACCGTTGTTTCGTTGATATTTCTTCCATTGTCTTTCCTTTCTTCGTACTTCGCTATCATACCCCAGTTTGCTGCCAAAGACAATCCTCTATCTGCAAGTGTGTTCTGGAAAACAAGTGTGCCGTTAGCAGTGGCTATCTCACTTCTGTCAGCTGGTATAGCATTTCGACACAGAGTCTTCCGAGCAGTATCATACTTTCTGGGATTGAACAAGGCACCAAAGGCGCATGATGCACAGAAAATGGTTTGATTTGAGCAAATAATGCTGTCAGTAAACAGTCTGTCAGTGTCGTGTCCAGTATTACCTCAGCCTCAACAGCAATAACATACTATCTCTCTTGCGCTATCAGAACCGGAACTCTAGTGATTACCGTCTTAAGTACCCCACTTCCGTGTCTCGACTCGAAGTATCGTCTCCATTGGACAAGCATTCGTCACAGACTCGCAATTCTAGTCACGTTAATCGCATGAAAGCTTAGAGAGACATTGAGCGTACCTTCATTCTTTCCAGATTCTTCTTGATGGCAAAGGTAGGTCCATCAGACCAAACCTTTTGACCAGACACAGTTCCTTGCCTCTGATCCTCGGATGCGAAGGCTGCATCGCCCCAATGACCTAAAAATTTGAACCACCTAGTGGGTTGATACCTCGGTCTCAGAGCCGTGATCTCCTGAGATGATGCAGAAAATGAATAAACTACCGCATTGAGCGAAGGATTCCATCGGTACCCTTTTGAGGTAAAGTCGTAGATTACGGAGTTATCTGGCATGATGTATCGGTTGTTCCTAACTTTCTCAGTGGGACTCCGCATTCATGGCGCAGCTTACGTACCCTGCAATCGCGTACAAAGCGTGCGTGCCTCGACCAGCATAGATTACGGGCTTCTTCCCAACTTTTTCTAGCGCATCGTATGCATACAAATTACCAGAGGAGTGGCGACTAAGATAAACCGAATCAGGAGACCCATTGCGGAATCTCACAACAGAATGTTCGAGATCACCTACGTGGTTGCCGAAGAATTCCGTTGAATTGGGAATGCGTGGTCCAGCATTAAAGTTGTAGAAGTAGAACGAAAACATGTCAACGACGTCTTCAAGAAATCCATCTCCATTCAAAATCTGTTTCTTCACAAAGATCGTGATGACTCTGGCTGAATCAACTCTGTCATCGTTGGGTCTCTGTCCATGTAGCCATTGGGGGTAGGCTGTCGGGTCGTCCTTTGCGGTCAAATATACGTTTTCACCCGAGCCGCCGTATTGATTCAACAGGTCCAAGTTATTCAGACAGAGGGGAGTATTTAGCGGTGGGCTAAAGGGCTTGGTTCCGTTCATTGGCATCACGTGCTCGAGGCTGCCAGCGTCAGGTCGGAGTCTGTCAGTGGCCCGTACCCGATCACTTACAAAGCCCCGAAATCACTCGGAAAATATTCTTCCTCTTGGTCAAGGTAGATGAAGGGTGCTTGGAAACTTAGTGTCATACGTCATCGAACAACGCTCAGCCTGCTCACCATATTCAAGCATTTCCGGGAAGCCCGTCTCCATATTCACGCTCCTGCGTAGTGCTTTCTCGACACTACTGACAGCTGTTCCAGCTCCGAGGTATAGATACACCATGAGCAGAACGCTCAAGGCCGCAAGCGCACGCTTTGTGCCCATTTCAAGGATATGCGCTTCTAGCTCTTCCTGACGTCATTAGCCTCGTCTAGCGTACGGATATCGACATGCTGTTAGTTGGGATGGCGTACCGTTGATTCAGAGCTGATCTAGGTCTTTCAATCACAATTATAACGCGCCGTACGTGCCTGCAACTTTCGGAGTTGAAGGTTTGCAAATATCGAGAAGAGTGTTCAAGTCAAGGCTGTAGCTGCTCTGCGATGCAGGTTTCTTAGCTTGTCTGCGTGAGGCGCACGTGCAAAGCCTGGTTGGCTGGGCCAGAAACGCCTGTGATTGGCCAAAGGTGATTTCAGTGATGACCATATCTCGATGTTCTAGAGACACAACGTATCCTCGCTTCAAGTTTTCACATGCAGGCCCTGTACACTACAATCAAATGAATATCAGGGTTGCTCTTGCTCTTTTTAGTTAGAAAATTCTGTGTTGAGGCAGACAAGGCTACGCCGGAAACTCGGCAATGTCATATTTCTCATCTCTGCCTTACATAAGGTATGTGCATGTGAATGCTATAGTTCTTTGCACCTCCTCCAACCCTCGCACTGCGGCCTGTTATGATGCAACATTCTGACACTGCTCCTACACTGCAAGTGTTCATTCGTATCAAGACGTGGCTACAGCTAGCGCCGTTCCTTCTCAGCCTCCTCCAACTCCACAGTCCAGAGATGATACTTGGACCTCGCTCTAATCCTCGGACCGAACCGAAAGAACAGCCACGGCACTGGCGCCATAACCAAAGCGACGAACCCCAGCGTACTGCTAGCCCATGGTGTCCCCATCTTGACATACATCTGCCGCGCAAACAGCGGGAAACCAGCCGTGAACAAAGACCGCATCACGGCATTCGCAGCTAATGCGCTCGCGGAGAAACGACCGTAGCAGTCGGTTAGATATGCGTTGGTTCCCAGGAAGAGCGTGACAAACCCGATGCCGAAGGGTATACCCGAGAGAATGCATGCGATCCAGTGGGTGGGCGGATTTGCCGTCCATCCGAACCAGAAGAGTGCCACGGGGATGAACCACGCTATGATAATGAGATGTGGAAGCCGGGCCTCTGGTGTCAGGCCTCCGAGTTTCTTGACCCATATGCCGTGGATGTCGTTGATCCATGGTGAGCTCGCCGTTGCGATCGCCATGCCGAGTCCGATGCCCAGGAACGATAATCCAGCAATGCCCTCACTCCAATGGCGCGTCTGCCGGAAGACTACTGGGTAAGCGGTGAAGTCAAGGTACAGGATACCCCAGACGAAGGCTGAGTAAAGGCCGAGGACGAACAAGATGGGCTCGGTGAAGAGCATGAGCCATGGTCGGGTTAGGTTGGTGGAGTATTGCTCTTTGAAGGATTGGCGTGGGGGCTTGATGCCTGCTTTTGCCATTTTACGTTCTAGCAACGTTGTCGTGTATGTCTCGGGGAGGAAGAGAAGCATGGCGGTATACACGAATGCGGCAATGATGGTCACGACCCAATAGAGCCATCTCCAATTCAGGTGCTGCGAGATAAAACCCCCCGCCACCGGCCCCAGGACTGGGCCGAGGGAGCTGCCCGTCGTGAACAGTGCGAATGGAACCGAACGATGGCTTTGGGGCCAGATGTCTGCTAAGCATCCGCCGCTGTTGGTCACAACGGGTGACCCAAAGAAGCCGCTGAAGAACCGAAATGTTAGAAGAGCGGCAAAATTGGGCGATAGCGCACAGCCGATGTTGAAGCAGAAGAACAGAAACATGGTAATGCGAAAGACAATCTCTCTTCCCAATGCTTCTGAGAGCGGCGCGAACAACATTGGGCCAGAGGCAAAGCCGACGAGGAATGTCGTTACTCCTAACGTTGCAACGGTCGGGGAACATGCGAATGTTTTGGTGACGCCAGGGATTGCCGCGGCGTGGATACTCGAGCAGAAGGTGATATTCGCAGTCATAAAGACGATGACCATCGTCGCCGTCCATTTCTTTCGGGCGGGCCAGTTGAAAGGATGTTCGTCAGGGTCGAGCTTGATCTGGGAGGAGCCATCTTGCACAGCTTGATCGTTGAGCACTGTCTTCTCGGCTAGTACGCAACTGGCAGGGTGAGAGCTGAGGCTTTCGGGGTCTTGACTAATCGTGGCGTCTTGCTGCATTGTGGACGACGAAGAATGATGAGAACGAAAACGAGTGCGATATGATTCGAGATGAACTCGGCTACACTCTGGACTGGCTTCATTTATGGGCCCAGATCATGAGAGAAGCGTTCATGGGGGCTGGCGGAGCTGCCAGCGTCTACCAGTCGAAATGATTGCTGGTGTGCCAAGTCCAGTATACGGTGAGTCATATCGACCGTGGCGTTCGTGGCTTTCATTTTGTATAGCGTGTGACTGGTGGACATGGCGAGGATATTTAGAAAGGTACCAGAGCTCTGCATGTCGTGATGCGCTCAACCGGATTGTAGGCGAAGGCCTAGGATCATGGCCTGGTGGTATCAGACGGTGACGGGACAGTTCGCTTTGATCTGAGTTTCCCGCAAGTGATTCGTGGTTCGAATGGGCAACGGGGTGGAAACGTAGTTTCCGGGTGATTTCGCGTGTGCAGACTGAGAGAGCAGCAGCGAGGTACTCAGTGCCGATGCGCAGAAACGGCATACCCGCGTCGTATTACAGGCTCCAATGACGGGCGCTAGCTTGACCCCGTGGGGTATCTGGTGAGAGAAGTATGCGGAGCAAAACAGAAGACGAACGTAATGGTGCTGGGACAGTAACGTTCTCATTCCAACGTGAACTAGCTTCTGTTCCATATCCTGGGGATTCAGTGCGCCCTTACTGTGCCTCAAGCGATCGCCAAGGGCTGATTCTAGAACGGCCTTTGGCTAAGCGATCTGTGCGATACCAAATGCGTACATGAACATTGGTGGAAAATCTGCTGTGTCAAGGTTGTCAACGACGCCCTGCGACAGTGATGACAGCCTCGTCTGATCCTTCGTTGACATGATGACAAGAAAGGCGCAGGGCGTAAAGTCGAACAGCCAACCGATGTGGAAGGATCAGCTGCGTCTAATGAGGCAGCATGGCTGACTATTCCATTGCTGCTAAAGACGCGGTGAAGCATCTTCGAGTTCATACTGCGATCGCAAAGATGTTCCACTGCGGGTAGCGGGTAGAGGTCGCAGTGGTTCTGCATCCAATGAAGAACCAAGTCTCTCCGGCTCCCTTCTATGAGATGCCGTCTTCAGCTTCAAACGGCTCCACACCGCATTGCTTATTCGGGCTGTCCAGGTCGCAGTAGGAGGAGTGGCGACGCGATCATCACCGGGCTCATTGACTGGGGGCGTTGACCCTCTTCTCGATTCCGGTACAATATAGCCGTAGCCCTCTTCATGACCGATGAACCAGCGGAGTTCATAGTCTTTGCCTTCGGGTCCATCTCCGCAGCTTCTTGCAAGCACTCGGGTAGGCGGTGAGTTCACAGCGAGTGCGAACAGCTGCGCTGGTTGGGTAAAATCGGTTACAAGGCCCGGATGCATAATGAAATAGCATAATACGGAAGCGTTGATGAGGAAAGTGGAGATGAGAACTACCAGCCAGCCTTTTGATGCGTTGTCGGCTCCACCGGAGGCAAATTCTTGAGACTTGATCTTTGCCTTGTACCATTGCGTTGCTGGCTTGTCAAGTACTGAACCAGTATAATTCTTGGAGTCGTTAGTGCCGAGTGGTGCAAGTCTAAAGCACGATGGAGATCCATCCCTATCAAAGACTTACCCAGTGGTCCACAAACGGGAAATTGTACAAAGAGCTAAGTATAGTGTCAGCAGCCATGACAGCCAATGTTTCAGCTAAGCTTGGAAGACGTGGGTTGAGCGAGACCTGGAAGCTCCCAAGATTGGGATTTTTGGGTTCTAGGGCTAGCGTCATCAAGACTTGCTGGAGGTAGGTGATGCCCATTCCAAGAGAAAGACTGTTGGCCCACCTGGCACCAACATCTCCCCAGCTCTTGACACCCCGGATCGTCGTAGCATTTGCATTAGTTTCAGAGTACGCCATGTTGCTTGCTCGATCGTCACACAAAGCTTTGGCCAAGGTCCCAGAGACCAACACACTGTGGAGTGTGCTACAACGGGGTGTTATGTCAACCTCGAGCTTGCAAAGCGGGTATGCACCGGTCAGATTTCCTTCTCCAGATTTTGCTGGGCCACCCTGCCCCAGGATGTATATGGCGGCTCTCCCCCAAGCCCAACCCGTGAGGTTAAGAACTGTGCTGAACGGTATTGGGTACCGTGGGAATACTGGCGGATAGTCTAGCATTGTGGTTTTATCTTCCTTGGTCCATCCGAACAGCTCATCGACCACTGTCTTATTCACGGTTGTTGCATTGTCGCGTTCTCCTGGAAGATCGAACCACGTAGTAGAGTTGACTATCCTACTGTTTGGCCAAGCATCGTAAATGATAGGCTCGAGTTCCGTTCGGTTCATATGAACACATAGAACTTTCATCACAGGTGAGGGCACCGATGCCCATAGTGAGTATGGCTGAATAGAGTCCGAAGTGTCGGATAGTGGCATAACGTTCCTCTGATCGTATACGAAGCTGAAAACGCCAATATGAGGAAAAGCAAGCGAAACGTTATTGATGACTCGGTTGTATGTCCCTGAAACTTCAGCAGTCTCGATGACGTCGACCCATTGGGGAGCAACATATGTACCGTTATAGGGTAACCCGATCCAGGTGGGTCGATGCTCTTGACGTGTTGACATGTTGTGATCAGGTGTTACGATGCTGCGCCAGCGGCCAAGGAATTCTACCAGGTTGGAAAAACTCCTTCCGGTATTTTCGACATCCACACACGATCCGTACAAATCGTATAATGGAGTCTGACAGATGCGTCCAATGTGAGTGGCGTGAACAAATTCGCCCCTGACCGAACCCATCATGACCTTGTCATGCCAATCGCTTTGCTTGGCGACAGGTTGAACAAGAGTAGTTGCAGCTGTCATATAGACCGTAGACAGAATAGTACTAAGCAATGTAAGAACTCCGAGAGCAGAGAGCCCAGCGTACCGACCGATCTCGAATGATGTGATCATGGACCCAGGTTGTACTACCCAGCGCCACAGGGTTAGTTCTGAAAGCGATGCACCTTGGCTCCTACTCGCTATGATGGCTTTTCGGCTCACAACCTGGCCTAATAAAGTAACGACACAGGTGGCGAACGATAGCTCGATTGTTTTCGCGATGATCGAGGTCCAGAGTATAGCCGCGGAGATGTTCAGCTTCGCTTCCGGACTGTTCCCAATGTAACCTCCATAGCGTTGGCCATTTAGCGCCAATGCAACAAATATACCTGACAGCACTGTTGACACGCTGCATGTGAAAATGATGGCACCGCTGAACCATGTGAAACGAGGACTACCGAAGTCACGTCGCTTTTGGGCAGTCATTGCCGGGAGGCAAGTCGTCCTTTGTGCTCAAGGGTGAATCTTCTGACGCGCCGAGGGTGGCATCGGTCTCTTCGTCTACTGGGTATACGTGGGAGAACGCGTGGAGTCGCGCGGCTTGCGGATCGTTGTGCCGTGTGCCTTCGGCGTCATCGATAACCGTAATTGTCGGAGTGTATCCTCGGATTCGTGCGTACCTGAACGTGTCTTCGGCTGCTACGTTGGTGGTTGGCAGCGTATTCCCCGCGGGTGATACGCCTCTCGCGGCTTTGGCATCGTGGCTGTTGACTGAGTCGGTCACCCTAGCATGACAGGGCCGTGTGTCAGGATGGTGATCAGGTAGTTGTTTGCGTGATGTTTCGAAATTGATGATGTGATCCTCCGACCCTGATGGTGGTGCCGCGATGTGTGCGCCGTGGTAGTTGAAGGAGTGTCGCGTTCCCTTGTCGTTCGTCATCGTTAGGTGCTAGCACGCTAAAGATGTTCGGTTAGCGCAAGCAGCTAGCGAGGAAGGGTTCCTTGAGCCGTCGACGATCGTATTCGCAGTGCTCCAAGAACCATTGAGTCTGGTCTAGCAGACTCAGAAAAGAGGAGTTTGCGTCCTCTTCATCTGTTTTGGCTTGCGAGCGGTCTGTGGGACTGGAAAGTGGCAGGACGTACAGCCACCTCATCCTCTTTGTACTGTGCCGTACGCACGGCTACCGACAGCCTCATCGCCATCATGCGGTTTCGCAGTTGACTTGCAGATGTAACCTTGCACAACCCTGCTTAGTTTGCCCTTCCGTGAGGCTGCGTAATACGGCAGCCAACAGATCATCGGCTCATCGACAAGCAAGGCGCAAGGTGTAGCTTGCGAAACGCGAAATGTGGAAGGAAGGAGTAGATCTGATCAGGCAACAATCCACCTACAAGCCAACGTATCGAGAGAAGTTCTAATAGATTCAGCATTCTACGTGCATCGTGTTACGCTTAATGTAAACGCACTTTTATACTCTTGATGTACTTATGTTCTTCGCAGCGTAGCGCAGCCTAGAACGTTGCTTTAATTAGACCTCTCTAGCTACACACTATTAAACAGAGTTGTTTTTCTATTTCTTTATATATAACTATAGAATTATACAAACTAGAGTTTCTATACGCCTAGCTATATATAAGTAAATATTAGTAGATTAGTAGTTAATAAAGTATATAATCTACTAGGTACCTAAGCTCTCGAAATAATATATTACTAAAATATTAAAATACTATATTAACTAAAATATATATATATATACTAGCTATTTATAATTAATATAAGCTTATTTAACGCTATATATTTAAGTTATAAAATAGTAAAAATTTAAAAATTATTTAACTTTAAATTAGTTAGTTATTATATTAATAGTAAACTTAAGTATAAATAGAAAAACTAGTTATTAAAAAAAAATCTAAACTAGCTAATTACTAGATATAAAATGTACTAAGTAAAAAAGCTTTAGAAATACTATATTTTTAGAATAGTAAAGCTTTTTATTAGCTAAAATATAATTTTTAAAACTAACTATTTATAAAAGATAAAAGCTAGCTAATTAGTAAAAATATAATTATTTTAAAAATAAAGCTTTATAAATAATAGATTTTTATAATAGTATATTTATATATTAAATAAAGTATAAATTTAAAAATAAGTTATATTAAAGTATTTTAAGCTAGCTAATTACTAAATATTAAACTAA